TACCGATGAAGGAGGCAGGTCGAAACAGCAGCTGCAACAGTAACCGATTAGTATTTTTACGGCCTTCATTTTTGCTTTATTTTAGCCCTTATACCACTTCTACATGCTTAGAAATATCATTAGGATTGACGTAAGCACGGTATTGTTCAGAGGCGAAGGGAATTCGAAAGTGGAGGAGAGGAATTTCTTGCCGCTAAAAGATCAAAAGGAGAAGAAGAGAAAGAAATCAGCTCGATCGTAGTTTTTTAGTCCTTGAAAATGATTGTCCCGCGATCGTCATTAGTTTCGCATATTATAATAACGATTGCCGGATCATTAAACTGTATTAGTCGGGGCCATTGTGCTCCCTCTTTTTTTGGATTTCCTTTTGACCGTACACTTACAAGTGGTGCATATGAATCATGCGTTGCCAAGGTAGTTCAGCCCAAGTGTTCATTCGTTCACCATCTTGTTTGCTCTTCACTTCCAACCAGTCCTGTAGTCCTTATAGGGGATGAAGACGGATTTTGTTTACTTTATACTCTGTCATGCTTAATTCAACGATTATTTTCTTGCACTTTTCATCCTAATGAAGGCAAGGCGTAGAGCGTGACCGCACGCTTGACCGTCATGTAATAAGGACTTGCCTAGAATGTGTCATGTCGCATCATGCTGACACCATTCGGTACCCTACAGTATTCAATCATTTTGTGATTCCTAAACACTTCGGTGGGTGTGTACACTCTCATGTTGAGGCCTACGTCAGCAGACGAACTTAGAGACTTTTCGGGCGTACAGAATGTTTTTCCAAGTGAATTCGTGGAGTCCTTTATGTCCTCCATATGAATGATCAAATATCGAAATGTAGCATAGGCAGCTGAAGTCGAGACCATTCCTTCAAACTTCCCAACTTCTACTAAGTGCCCTTATAGTGCCACTCAGTGCTTCCTAAGGTAACATTGATATCAACCCGGTACCACGCCATTGCTGATGCTGTGGGACTGGTGAGAAGCGGAAAGGCATGAAAACAGAAGCTCCTGTAGAAGCTTGGTTATCCGTTAATGTCATGAATTAGCTGATGCAAGGGGATCCGAGGGGAGGATAAACTTGATTACAATAGTCATCTAGAGTAATATGTTATCTTCTTGGCAGCCCACTGAATGTGCTTGACTTCCTTCATAAATTCGTTTTTCTTAGGCTTCTTCCACAGGTTCTCCAAAAACGATTCGTGTGCTAGAATGGTAAAAAACCCCTACACATGGATCATGAAACAATCTAGAATTCGTGGAAAAGTGAATGACTGTTGAACAACGAAGTAACCTTGTCGAGCGAGTTGTAATGATGATAAGAAATTTGTCTGGAGACCCTAATCTATGGCGTCAATCGAGCAGTTTCGCTTATTTAACCAGCAGGCCGACCACAGCCCGACTACTACCATCCATCTGACCTGTTATTAATGGTCCAAATTAGTTCAGAAAAATAGGAGGTTAACTCAGTTAAGGGAAATATATCTCGGAAAGTGACCTTTTTTATTTCCTGAAGCGTATATACTATGCTAAGCATTTGCAACGTCTGATAACTCATGTAAGGTCGTACAGTCAGATCGGTCTCCAACTTTTTTTTGGTTTTTATTTCCCCATTACTCTTCAGGCAGTGATTGCAACTTGCTCCGTTCGACAATTCAAAAGTCTATGGAGAAGATAAAATATTGTATTGAACTATAGAATGAGGGAGTTAACTGAGCATCCCCCACACTGATATGTAACCTGAGCCTACTCCCAACCCATTCTTACTCAGCGCAACTCGTGAATGCTGCTTAAGTTGGCTATGGAAATGGGAGGATTTGGTGTTGGTGGGGCGAAATTTAATACGAATTTGATCCCCGAACCATTGCGAACGACGGCTGTGGCTGTCACCACCTGCCTTATCTTCGCCTCTTCATTTTCTTGGCCCTCTTTTCCGAAAACGCGGAATTGTTCTCGAAACGTCATCAATATGTCACGTGCTATAAATTTTTAGTATGTACTTCACCCACCTTAACTGAGTCGCTATAGTTTGATAACTTTTTCCTGCGAACGATTGGCGAAGTCATATCACCATTAACTAGCCACGCTCCTTTGACAGCCAGGAAATAATAAGAACTATCTAAGAGCAAATTTTGCAATTTGAATCCATCAACTATTATTATTCGTAGAATTGATTGCGACTAAGATGATCGCCCCTTTTACTAATCGATAATCGGTCGCCGGGGTCATAGTTCAACTGCCCGTAAACCTTTGCTGCGCATCGATTTGTTGATTAGATTTACTTCCAGTTTTTATTGTACCAACGAGTGATTGGTACATTAGGCAAAATGAAGTTTATTTGTGAGAAACATTCCGTCCTGATAGTGTTCCCCAATTGGGAGTGGGATGTCTGATTGCTTGTCTTTTTTTACACCGCCCGGAAGAACTCGATACCTGTCACCACATGTTATTGTAATACTCTCTTATCGATCTTATCATTATCAATGACATAAATGGCGACCGTTTTTCTGCACGGGGCGCGTCTCTTACTAGTAAGGAGGATAAAAAACTCCTACTTCTCTGATCGGTCACTGTTCTCCTATATTCCCTCGAAAAGATGACGATCTGTGGTTTTTCATTGATGTCTCAAACAAAAACTAAAACAAAAGCTTCAGGTCGGACCCCTACCTCCGCCTCTACAGCCATGGGTAAGCACAACTCTTTCAGTCTCGTTTTACCATAACTTTTTTCTTCATTACTTGATGAGCAAGATTCAGTATTGCAATCCGACCATGCGACCAAACACTTTTTATATGCAACTGGTCTCGTTCTGGGTGGAGCTGCTATTGGATATTTCGTGAGTTACGCTTATTTATCTATTGGATTGGGCCATTTTTGGAAGTTTCCTCAGCCAGCTGCCGACGTAGTGTCAACTGATTACAACTGACTGGCGCTGGTGAACTATGTCGTCGCTTTTTACCGTGCATCCCCTTAGGACCTTTGCCTCCTCTACATAAAAACTTCTTCGCTAGAAATGATATAACGAAACCCGATACGCACGCTACAATTTTCTAAGTTAACGTTTAGACAGCAGAAAACGAGACTATATGCTACTGTAGAGTCTGATGTAATGGTGATTACCTCCCCTCTCCACTTCCAGTTCGTTTACAAGGTATAGACCACGCACTCAATTCTTTTCTGTGGTAATGAAGGTCGTGCTTATCTCGAAAGTCCGTGTTTTCGTTGCTCTGCTGTCCTGTTGATGTAACCGAACCTGTGCGATCCCTCCCTTTCCTTCGAAATTTTTGCATGAGTTTACAATTGTCCATGAGGTAACTGAACATGCCATCAAACCTCACTCACAGCAACAGCGCAGCCTTCAAAAGTTTTGCGCGCTTCTCTTGTTTGCTTGCTTATCCAATTTACTTCACCTGAAAAATGAACGATAATAAACGGAGCTGAAGAAGTCACATGTTGCGCGACGCACGCACTACCATTTTGGAGGGGTACCTCTGAATCATGTTGATAGAGGGGCTGCCCATTACAATATGTAGATTCATCCGCATCGAATGGATTCCTTGCGTCATCGTAGGGTTAACGCATTCCTAGGCGAATTCCCATCGATGCAAAAGGAGGGAAAACCCGTATTTTCAATAATTTTGTTTAACCCGAATTGGCCATTTTGTTCGAGTTCGAAGAAAATTTTCATCTTCGAGAGCCTCTTCATAGTTTTCCTTTCCATTTGTAGCATTTATGATGAGCTTTCTATTTTGAGCTCTACTGTAGTTTACATTAAAGTGGGATTCACGTCTTCCAATTGTCCCATTTTATTATTAGAACCTTTTTATTATGCTATAAAGTAGCCAGCGAATTGGATCAGGCAGATACCGACGTAGCGAGGCCGCCATGCGACCATGGCCTCATTACAACTACGATAGATACTCTATATACTTACCTCACTCGTATGGGCAATTTCCCAAATGTCCTTGGCTAGCAATTGGGCTGGTTGTGACCTCGAGTTGTTCCACTATTATGAGAAAGTGATTTTTTTTTCAGCTCGGCTACAAATTGGCCTTACGTAGAGCTAGAGTTAACGCAAAAGTTCAACTTGCAAATGATAAGGTATTTTTTCGTGTATTCCTTACTGATAGGCCTATTAATGCTAAGTGTAGCTAGGACTTTGTATTGAAATCTTTGTTTTCAAGGTAGTTGATACCGTCGATGTGGAAGATATCGGAGAAAAGAAAGCATTCTGTCGATGTTGGCGGAGTGAAAAGGTCGGTGAAGTTTAGGAGAATTCTTAACAGCTCAGCGCTTTATTCGAAATAGACTTTTTCCTGATTCAGACGTACTTTCTTCTTAGCTATTTCCTTATGCTGATGCTTTTTACACTAGTTTTCTTTCAAGACTGGATTGTGGATAATAATGGCCATGCATTAGACGAATACACGTTGAATCTTTTATCAGATATGGTTGTTAAACGTGTTTCATGATTTTTTGAGTGCAATTTCCTTCCAAAACCCCTAGTACCGAGGCTCACTAGAAGGAAGTTGCCTTAAAGGCACAGTCCACGATATTCTTGAAGTGCCCCTTTTTATTCGGAAAGCGGAAGTATAGATTGGGAATAGTTCATCGGTAGTGAAGAAAGCGAGAGAACGCGCCGATTTCGAAAAAAATATGGCTCCTCAAAAGTAGGAAAAATACAGGTCGGACGAGATTGCCATGACGGAAATAACATGGAAGGGGTGTTCGGACGAGATTTCAGCCACTGCAATTGCACAAAGAGCTGATTACATCAATCTAGAACTCTACAGAACTGTCTTTCACTGTCACTATGGGTCATGACAAGTTGTTTGAACTTCCTACATGGGTTCCCTTGTGATCGGTGCAGCCTCTACAATGCCAGTGAAACTCGTCCGAGAATACACACGAGCCATTTTTGAGCTTGATAAATTCCTGACTAGGCCGTTTTCTGACCTAATCGTGTCAGATATGGTATACGCGGGGGCCTCAAATTCTTCCTGTGTGGGAACCTCAGGAACCATTTTTATCGTGAACTGTGCCTTTAAAATCATTCTCCAGTTCGAAAATATAGACTCAGTCGTAAGCTCATCACCAGACTCATCTTCCGTTGTCTTCTTTTTCTCAAAAGGATAGACTTAAAGCTCTGCTTCCTGCTAAGAAGCATACATTGTCCTCCTTTTTGGGCTATTCTATAATCTACGACAATGCCCAGGGTCTGCTGTTACAAAAAATGCCGGATACCTGGTGTCGTCGACGACGACCCCCATAGCTGGCCTCTCCCTCTCGAGTGGCTTCTCAAGAGGGTGAAGTGCGGGGTTATGCTCGTGCTGGCTTCATTGTCACTTGTACTTGCAACTTGCTCAGCGTTGGGAACAGTCAACCTGCCCACGCTTATCTCTATCTCTCTTAAGATAAAAATATTGAACCATTGTTGTTTTCTTGCCATTGAAACGGTCCAACAGAGCCCCAAGTCTCGGCGTCCGCAACACCTGGGGCTCTCGGGGTTCGAAATTTAGAAACACGCCATCTCCGATATGCATCGCACACACCTTTGCATCAGTGAGTCGTATCTTCGATCGATTTAGTATTGTATCGTCTAACAATATTTGCATTAATTTTCCAAGTGGGATGTGGAGGAGATTCACTTATGTAGCGGTTACAAAGGCGAAAAGTGTGCTGCATCTTTCTCCCGAGCGGTCAAACCACGCTCTCCATTCTATCCCCTTACTCCCTAAATTATAAGATTGGTAGGTATTCAATCGTCTCTGTACCCTTGTTGTTAGAGTTTCGGTGGTTGGCGAAAAGACCATGCCACAGATCTTCAGCAGGTTTCCCAGCAACACGATGGGTGACCCTGGCAGTGAAAGCGAAATTGTCTTATTGTTTTGACGTTCTAGTTGTGGTTAGCCTAGGAGATTATTGCTGTAACAATTGATCTGGCTAATTGTTTTTCTTTTTGCAGTTCCCGTATTGTGATGGTGCACACACTAAACACAACAAGGAAACAGGCGATAATGTTGGTCCACTGGTCGTGAAGGGCAAACATTAAGGAAGGTCGTTATGGTCGTTTCGTTTTAGGTCATACGCCCTTACGAGTTGCCCTTGTGATTTTTCCTTTGTTTTGTTTTGTTAAGATAGTTTGAAAAGTGAAGCTTCCCCGATTTTTTCATTCATACCAATAGGTCTAATGCGTGACACGTTGCATAAAATTCTTGAGGAATGGTACATGGTAAACCGTCCTAATTCGATATTTCCATGCCAATCAGCGAAACTCGAGGTAAAAAAAATTGAAGAGTCGTATTTCGCGTTCCTGCAGACATCTGAAACCATAACAGAGTGTAGGTAGCGTAGGTATTATAGGCTCTGCTTCATTCCTGTCGAGAGTCATCTCCTATCTCAGAGGCTAGAATGTGTACCTTTAGAGATGTTCCAATATTTGTCGTTCGTATAACAAGGGACGAGAAGGTCCACGTAGATTGAGTATCAAAGTGAAGGGATTACTTGTAGATATGGGAGATATTTGATAGAGGTTGATTGATATTTGGCAAATGGCGCACTATGTCACACGCCGGTCAGGGGTTCGAATCCCGGATCGATGCCCGCCTAGGCCAACCAAGCCCTCCATCCCTCCGAGGTCGGTGAATTGGTACCACACTCGTCTGGGAGGATAAAAGCACTGACTTGTACATCGGCTGGCCGCCGCAAGCCATTGTATAGGCCACATACGCACTCATTACGCCACTACGATTCTGAATGAAAGTCGAGTGCGGGGGCGCATCCCTCAGACGGGATTGATTAACGCCAAAAACTTTATCCTTTATCCTCTTATGGGAGATATTCAGGATATTCCGCTGGGGTAGTGAAAGTGGTTCTCCTGGGTGGTCTATAAATTTAAGGCATCCTGCAAACAATATTGGTTGGTAGAATGTAGGTTCTAAGTTGCTTATATGAGCTGTCACCTTATTTTACTGGAATACTTCACAGTTTGCGCTTTGAACTTCCTAAACTTCGTAGAAAACTGTTAGAAAATACTAATCTTTAGAATTGTTTTCATCGTTCCAATGTTGTGGTAAGCTATAAGTATCTCAAGTTTTCCTTGCAAAACCGTTACAAACTGTCTCGCATCGTGGGACAGCTCAAACCCGACACTATTTCGGGAGCTGCCGAAAATGTTGCTGATTGCAATTGAAATATTGCTGGTGGCGTTTTGGAACAATATTCTCCATATTTTGTAGGTAAACGTAGTCTTGTCACATACCTGTTCAGTGATGCATTTGTAAAACTGACCGCATACAGATCATGACTATTTAATCTCGAGAACGTGCAAAAAACGTTTTATCCATATTATATTCATTGCCCTTAATAATTACCGGATAGTTAGTTATTATTCAGCTGTATATCAAAACATAGCTCTCTCATCCTAGGTAGCAAACTCAGAGTACACACCTCCAAACAACGTGGAATCACTAAAGACTCAAATTGTATCTTACAATCAAAAACTGATGTGAAGAGTCACTCAGTCACTACAATGATGGGATGGCCACGAAGTAGTGAAAGAGAGTATTTCCTAACTGTAATGAAATGAAATGAAATGTAATATCCTTTTCATCATTCTTGGACCTGGACCTGACAGTCTCAGGTCTCTGCCTATTTGTGAGAAACAATCGGTCTTTAGAGATCCCAATACAGAACAAACGCAGTTACCCTACAGCTTACAGTTAATGTATCACAACCATCAATACGAAAAAAATACACCGCATAAAGGCCAATTAGAACACAGCGATGGAGAGAAGTGAAAGCAAGAAATAATGTTGATGAATTCACTAAAACACGGAAATACTATCACAGTACACTACAAGTACTGACAATAACTGAAGCATTACTGGAGCATGAGTTTCATTTGTAATTAGAAAAANAAAAAGGATATGAACATGGATAAAGGATAATACTAGGAATAAATTGATATGAATTTATTTGAAAATCTGGTCATAGTCAACAATGAGCCTGTAGCAGAAGTTGTTCAAGTTGTTCAACTGTGCTATAGGTACCTAAAAACTGCAGCTTTTGAAGCAAAAGCTATGCGAACATTATTGGAAGTGAACAGGTGCAAAAATAAACCCTAAAAATCACCTGTTGGTCTGTGGGCCATGTGAGATTGGGTCCAAATACAACACTGAGATTATTCGCGGTCATCAAATTAACTTTGTGATTAGCAGCCACCTGAAAAAGTTTGACGCCCATAGCATAATCTTCTAGAAATTGTCTGGATGTACGTACCAGCGTCAAGAAATGCACAACTTTTTGGAGTAAAAGATAGTTCGGTCGAGGAAGAAGAACGACAAATTCTTTGACTGCTGGCGTTTTCTCCTTTTTAGGGACGTCTTAAACAGATAATATCACTGAAACAATTCCAAACACAAACCAAAACAACTGAACAAAAAAGAAGAAAAGAAGAAGAAAAACTACAATCTACACTACCTGCTAGAGCAGCTAAACGTGGATAAAGAGCATTGGTTGTAACCGGCTCGCCCAGCGAACGCAGGAAGGTCTTCAGCAAGACCGATGCATGTATACAAGCGACGTAGTGATTGTCGACGTATTCAGGATCGTTTTCAAAATCAATATGCTCTCCTTAATCGGGTAAATTAACAGAAATAATGTTGAAAAGAAGTACCTCGAAGAAAAGAAGTATTACCTCTATTAATACGTTCTTGCAATCTGCGAATACTCCCGACGTTGGCACTTTTTCTGAAAATGCCTTCGACGTCAAGGGCATGTTTGGTTAGGAACTCAATCAATTCTGTGACAATGGGCGGCACATCGTGGTCGGGATTATGCGACAAAATACTAAAACAGAAGGCAGTCACTCATCAAAAGTATATAAGATATTATAAGAATAATCTATAAATAACGATTTTGAACTGTTGGACTTACAATTCCAGGCTGACACCAAACTGCTGGGTAGGTCTGGGAGGAGTAGGAGGAGTTTGAGATCTATTATCACCTGAAGCTAGGCCAGAGCCTAACATTAGCTGTTCATCGTGTGTTCGAATTGGTTGAGGCAAATTTAGCCTAAATCAGAATCAGATTTTTATAGCGAAAGCCTTGTTCCCTACAGAAGCTGATATCACCAAATACCTCGCTACTGAGAGGGCCTCCTCTAGTTCCCTTATACAGTTCACATAATGAAATTTGTTCTCAAATTTTGAAGAAATAAATGGCCGGAAGAGTCCCCAAATAATTCGGATAAACCGTGTTGGGTGCACAACATATAATGCCTTTAAGTTCTTCTTGAATCTGTAATATGAATAGTTCGATTATAAGCAGTAATAAAGCTAATAAAGCATATAGAAAAGTGTAAACAAATAAAATAGGTAAAAATATATATCTGTGCTAAAGTCAATACCTTCTATCAAGCACCTTGTATGCTTGAAATAACCATTTGATAGGGGGTTTATTGTGACTCCTCAGACCATAATGAAAGTAAACTATGGTATAATCCAAATCAACCACCTATAAAGAAGAAAAAAATCGTTCAAAATATTCAATGTACTTAAAAAGAACTAAACAAATTACTTTGTCGAGGATTGATTGCAAATACCGAAGTAGTTTCGCGTGATCTATGGACTTGCTAGGAGGAAGACGATACGCATAAATGACGATTATTGGCCTTAAACGACTTCATGCATAAAAGGAAAGAAACCAGGACCGTGCTGAGATATCAGAAACATGATCCCAAGCATGAAACTCGGTTCACTTACCTTCCGACCCGATCACCATCGGCGATCACCTCTACTATTTCATGTGTAGCTATAGTAGAGAAATCCTCTTCGAACGGATCGACCGTTCCCAACTCTGATTCGTAATCCAATCTCTCCAGGAACGATCGTGAGGGCGGAACACCGCTAAGGTCTACTGGAAAAATACAAGGTGTAATGGATGGACTCACATGCTGGTAAACAACAGCAAAAGGAAATAAATTATGAACATGCAAATCAAACCTCGAGGACTAACAATATCGAAGAGAACAAAAAAAAAATACTTTTCAAATTTTGATTCATAGTTACATTCATGCCACAACTAGTCATGTTACCTGTTCAGATCCTACGCAAAAGGTATTCAAGGCTGCGTTTGCAACAGTAATCTGAACAAGTGTTTCAGCTAAGAAAAATCGTAATAATCGAGGTATGTAAAAGGATAGTCAGTGGTGACTTATGACAAAGTTTTGTTGGTTGTTTTCTTATTAAGCTAAAGCGAAAAAAAAACTTAAAGTTCCCTGAAGCAGCCTGTTATTTAAGGAGAAGGGGCACGAGAAATGAAAATATGGGTAAAGGTAGGAGAGAAGATAGGAAGAAATTGATATGAAATAAGTAATTACCGCTTATATCATCTGCAGTGAGAAGGTCATCATCAGCAAAACCGTCTTCGGGCTCTGTGAAGGCAGCGCTTACTTGCCTGTCGAGCGCCGACATACAACCAGAACCTGCCAAAGAAAAATAATAAACGCATTCAAGATAGGGTAATTTACCTGGCGGTAGTACTACGACCAAATGTAATTTCATGCAACAAAACCAGATCTTTAAAGAGTATTCACAAGCATATACGACCACAATTATTATATTCAGTCCGCTAATTTCCATAAAATTAAGGACGACTACTCTTGAGTATTTGATTCTTCTAGCCTTGATAAACGAAGGGACACGCAAGTGAAACTAAGAGAATGTCAGGCAAGCTCAGGTTCTGATGGAAAAACTTGCCTTCTCCTGAAAACAGTTCATACTGAAGACTTACAACTCTCTGGAAAACTGATGTTCCCTTGAAGATGTTTGAGTGAGTGATACCTAGGGTAACGCAGGTACAACAGATAAAAAACGACTACTTTTTCTCTTAGTCTTTAGTTTCCACAGACTGTTGATCAGCCCTGATTTGTAGGAATTAAGAGCAGAAAGGAAGGATGGTCAAGCATCTCCCGCAGCGTGAATGGCCAATAAAATTTTTTATGACAAAAAAAGTAATAAAAAATGATAACCAATTGCAGACTACGCTATATTTGCTGTGTTGCAAAAATGAAAAAAAAAACCTCGTCATTGACATGAGTACGACAACCGCATGAATAAAAAATGGAACAAACAATGAGTCATCAAGCACACGAAACCAACATTGATTGCCATGGCCACGCCCCTGTAGGTAAATCCCTCGTGGGTGGTGGGAATACCTGTTTCTGGGATTTTGGGGAGATTTTGTTTTTAAGAGGCAGATTTATTAGTGAAACCAGCGGCAACCGACTTGTTGCCACGTGTATCCAGGCATATGGGCCACCCACTCGTTGCTATCAAATCGTTAAGTAGGAAAGAATGTACAAGCCTGCACATTCCTTTCTACTCAACCTATTAGTCTGAAGTTACTAGGAAAGCTTTCACTTCGTATTAGACTTTTCCTTTCAATGTTTTGAAGAGACCACGTTTTGAAGCTGCAACTAATATAATCCTCAATTCAGATGTCTGAATTAAATGGATGTAGTTGGAACCTTCAAGTTTTGAGCTGGCATGGCATCGTCTAAAAGAAAAGGATACATTCGGAAAAGTATTGGCAAACCATTTTGTGCTGACGAGGGCAAAGAGATAATGGTGATGACAAGGGAAAAGGAATAACGGCAGAACGGACTGCAAAAACGAGTCGGCTAAAAGTCCCAGCAGCATGTAGTTGATCACAAAACAACAAAGATTCGCAGCAAAACAATGAGGTAAGACTGCTATTGGAAGAAAGAATGAGGAAGAAATAAAAAAAAAGGAGTTCTAGCCGAAGCAGATGTCCATGTTATGTAAAAACACCTTAGAACGCGTGTGCAAATACACTCTGCAAAAGACTACAGTGACTTTACGCCTAAAATAATTCTTGTATGAGTGGATGGAGCATAACTCGCAATTTCAAGAACATATCTAGGCCATGGTTTTTTGAAAACTTTCCAGCGTCTGGCGAAGTAGGTGGGGCAGTATGTTGGCGAGCCAATGCTGAGGTCGTAAGTAGTGGAGGCTCACCTCATTGACCACCATTTCTCCATCCCGAAGGAATGCCATTAGCCTCGTTTATGAAGTTGTCTTTGCAGCATCTGACCGAATAGTGGATCATGAAAAGCGAAAGCAGAACAGCTCAGTCACCTCTCTCCACGCTCTACTTGAATTTGAATAAAGTGAATGGGTTTGCATAGCTGAGTACAAGTCAATGGGAAGAGTTCACCATTGTAGGACGGAGGGCTTCTAGAATAGTCGTGCAAGTTTCAGTATCACTAGGGGATTACTGTATCACACGTTCACGGGACGTTGAAATCCCTCCAATTCCAGTATTGCGATAGATTTTTGTCTGTCCCTGGGTTCTCTACGCGAGAAAGAGGGCGCGATTTACTTAACTAAGCGTAAACTAAGTGGTACTGTCTGCAAGCTACACTACCTACACCTGGTCTTTTCATTTTTCAAAATTAGAATTGCCTTCATAAGAGCTTAGATCTTACCTCCTAGAGCTCTTCTCACCGCTGTTCTCGCCACTCTTTCAGGTTCGCATGAAGCAATGATGGTCCAAGTGAGAAGGCTGGGTGGGCCTCTTTGGCACCAAAGGAAGACGATTCGCCGATACATATCAACAAACGATGTAAATGAGGCTTTGTTCCCCGTTGATCTTACTTTTTCTATATAGTTTTGGGTTTTAATAATGTGGCTCATTCTCCAGATTCGACAAAAATTCGTAAAGTTTTTTGAAAGTCATGATCATATTCACGTGCCATCGTCTGCACTGGTGCCTCCTTCTGAAGATAGATCGCTGTTGTTCACCAATGCTGGCATGAATCAGGTAATAAGATTAGTTCTGGGGTTTCCTTGGAAGGTTTTTAAAGCTTGCAGACGTCATGGAAGTTCTCAGTAAATTACCCTTCGGTTACTATGGGGCTTCGCCTACATAATCAATCACTTCCTTTCGATCACCTCGTAAACATAGGACTTGCGTAGATTTCACCCGCTAGGGGAAAGTTGTGGTTCCTCCTTAAACAATCTCAATTTTTGCTATCAGATTTTTACGTAGCCTTATCTTACAACTTAATTTTTTTAAGAGACATCTTGAACCAAGTCTTGTAGACTGCCTTTGGTAATCTACTCATCAGAGCACCATGTGAAGAAGTGGTATTCCCCATACGACGGATTTTTTAGTTCAAATCATTGTTCTTGGGAAGACAAGACACTAAGTGGGAATTACTCAAGCGTGCTGTGAGCTATCAGAAATGCCTTCGAGCTGGTGGCAAGCACAATGACTTGGAGGTAGGTACTTACTCAGTTACCGCGCAAGCCTTCAAAAAAGGCTCATTCATAGTCGAAAATGTCTTAGAATGTTGGCCGAGATCTGCATCACCAGACGTTTTTCGAGATGCTTGGTAACTGGTCATTTAACAATGCGTACTCCGAGGTAATTATTCTTTTTCATCTCTTAGCTACTCTGGTGTCTGAAATAATGGTAGAAGTAGTCATTATTCAGTGATCAAGTTGACAGCTCGGCGATTTCCAGAATTATAGGAAGAAGCGTGCAGATTGGCGTGGTACTTCCTCACAGATATCCTTGATATTGATCCAGCTCGGCTATATGTCTCATACTTTGGCGGTTCGAAAGAATGGAATCTTCCACCTGACGAAAACTGCAAAAGGATCTGGCTTAAAATCGGGTAATCGAAGATTCATTATCTTCACAGGCATCAATATATCCTGAATTTCAGGTTACCTGAGTCTCATATTTTACCATTTGAAAAGGAAAACTTCTGGGAAATGGGATTTACTGGTCCATGTGGACCATCTAGCGAAATTTTCTACGATCGCGTTCCAGGACGAAGCGATGCAGCCCGTTTAGTGAATGTTGATGATTCGATTGTTGAATTGTGGAATATTGTTTTTATTTCCTTGAACAGGTAACAGTTTCCGAATATGCTGTTAGTGGAACCTTCTTTGTTGTTTCGTTCTATGTATGACTGTAAATGTGTTGAGAATCATCGTTCCAGGTCATCTACTGGTCGCCTAGAATCTCTTCCCAATAATCATATCGACACAGGTATGGGACTGGAGCGCTTGGCTTCAGTTTTGCAAGACGTGCCTTCGAACTTTGACATTGATATATTCGCTCCTATTATGAAGCATATATCTACCGTGGGTGCTCTTTATTTGCCTTAATTAATTTCCAATTATTGAAGAGAACTTTGATAATGCTGTTCTCTTTTCTCATTCCTAGGAAGATCAAATGCTCTCTTCACGAAACAGACTTTCAAGAGAATTGGTGACTTCAGGGGAATTGCAAAAAAATCGCCTCTCATTACAGTTTTCCAAAACGGGTGCCTACGGTGGACGTAATGGTTCGTCTGATGTTAACGAGCGCGACGCGTCATACCGCATTATTGCCGATCATCTAAGAGGAATTGTAGTTTCTCTGGCCGATGGTGTTGTGCCTAGCGCTGTCGATTCAGGGTTTGTGGAATTTCTCATTTAGGTTCGTTCGGATAACCATATTGACATCTGTGGTCTTACATCTTACAGATTCATTATTCGTAAAATGTTACGAAGATCATTTTGGCATGCTGTGAGCCGGTTAGGAATGGATCGCTTCGCATGTTCTGATCTTGTTCATGTTGTTGTTGACACCCTGGTAAGTTCCTGTATTATAAATATTATATTTAGTTTATAATTTATCGAACGGTAGCGCTTAATATTTAGAGGCCAGCATATCCAGAGCTGTATAGCTGTGCTGAGAGCGTAGCGAAGTGTGTGATGGAGGAGGAGCATCAGTACTGGAACATTATAGACAAAGGATGTACTATATTCGAACAAATGCGGGTGAAAATCCCTGAGAATATGAAGGTCTTTCCAGGTAACTCATTGTCGAATCTTTGCACCTTTTATATGCTGTCACTTCATAGAGAACTGACCTGTTCAGGGGAAGATGCTTGGTTTCTGCATGATACTCATGGCATTCCTATTGAAATCACAGAAGATCTGGGCAGAAAATATGGCCTTACCGTCGATATCAAAAGATTTGAGGAACTCAAGGAAGAAGCGAAGGTCTCCATAAAATAGTACAACAAGTGATTTTAGTTAAAATTTGTTGAGTTCTAAGTAAGATTTTCAGAAGCTTTCTCAAAGCACAAGTCAATTTTCCGGCTCAGTTTCCATAGACACCACGGGATTGGAGAGTTACTCAGATGACGCAAAATATGAGTACTTTCTGGAGAAGAACGGATCGTATTGTAGGTTTTTGAAGGCCTTATCGTTCACTAGCTTTCGATATACCAATCAAGCTTTCAGCATTTCCTCAAATTAGCACCAAGATAGTGGCCGCCTTTGATCAGGATAAACGGGTACCATCGTTTGCATCATCAGGATCGGTGGTGTTGGAAAACTGCCAGTTCTATGCGGAGGAAGGTGGCCAAAAGAGTGACACAGGCGTGTTGGAGGTGAACGAGGTACGTTAGGTCATCACTTCCTTCAAGAATTTTTGCCCATCAACTCCGCTTAGTCAAAGTCCAAGTTCACCCGAGAGCGGTTGTTTGATTTTATTGAGAGGAAAGTCCATACTTCCTCGTCATTTACAGTCCTGTTTGTTACACGCGTCCACGTTTTCTGCTTCCATTTTGTGCTGTGATTGTTAGGTCAATGGTCGGTCAGCACACGTGATGGGAACGCTTGTTGGGCATTTCATCTCCAGTGAAATCACATAAAAGGCTCTAAAACGTTTTCCCAGAAATTAAATATCAATATGCCTTTTTTGTGCGTATTAACTAAGTACACCTATAACATTTAGGCACCAGTTTTCGAGGTTACGTCTGTTGACAAAGTGAACGGCGTGGCTGTTCTGAGCGGTAAGCCGATTGGACAAGCCACAATATCGGAAGGTACAATGGTCAAGCAGAAAATCAATGTGGTGGGTTATCAATATAAACGCTACGGTGTTTTATACTGTGGCCTCCTGCAATTTGCTAAACTTCTTGACTTGTCTCGGTAGTGTTTCTCCGTTAATGATTTTTTCTGTACAGAAACGCCGCCTTGCTTTGATGCGGGCCCACTCGGCAACACATCTCCTTAATTGGGCACTACGACGTGTTGGAGCAGGAAGAGGTCAGCGAGGATCATCGATTGATGAAGATTTCCTAAGATTCGACTATGCGACAGATGATTGTGCTGGGGAGGATGATATTGTATGTATTTGTGAAAAAAGACAGCACAGTATACATGGCAGTTCGAACCTTCTTCAGTGGAAAAAAGTGATTTTTTCCAGATCGAGCATGTTGAGTCGCTCATAGCAAACGTTATATCGGAAGGCAGAGACGTCAAAGTAGAGAAAACAGCATTGGACATTGCAGCAAAGATTCGGAATCTTCAGTCGGAGTTTAAGGAGGTATTTTGGTAGTTATTTCGATAAAGGATAAAGTCTTTGGCGTTAATCAATCCCGTCTGAGGGTTGCGCCCCCGCACTCGACTTCCATTCAGAATCGTAGTGGCGTAATGAGTGCGTATGTGGCCTATACAATGACTTAGGTGGCCAGCCGATGTACAAGTCAGTGCTAATATCCTCCCAGACGTGTCTGGTACAAATTCACCGACCCCGGAGGGATGGAAGGCTTGGTTGGCCTAGGCGGGCATCGTTCCGGGATTCGAACCCCTGACCGTGCGTGTGATATAGTGCGCCACTTGCCACTACACCACCTCCGCCCTAGTTATTTCGCAAATCATTGAGAATGAAGAGCTGTCGAAGTTGGCTTATTTCCAATGAGATGCCAGTCGTTTCAAAATTCAACTCATTTCCCATCTTGGGGACGTTCTTCTACAGTGGAAAAAAAANGAAAAAAAAAGTGAAGGAACGTATTTGGCCGCTTTACAGTGGTCGGAGTGGGAAAGTCGTGATAGCTGTGGGAGTTTGATGGATGCCAATATATAGAGTACCTGCTCAAGCTATGGACTATAAGTATGGGCAGAAGTATTGTTCACCACCCTAGACCGTTTTTTTAGGGAAAGGCTTATCCAAGTGTTGTTCGAGTAGCTCGAGTGGGGGACAGACTTGAGGATGCTCTCGCTGTGGAATGCTGTTCTGGCACGTGAGTGTTTGTGTACAACGTTTTTCGTTTGTTAAGTCGGGGTTTATATGAAATTGTGAAATTGCCGTAGCTCGTTTAATGTAAGGAATACATGGAAGTATTTTGGCATGGGCGTTTGTGAATGCAGTCGGAGTTTGTGAACGCAACCATAACCGAAGCCCATCCATCTATGATTTTAGGTCCCTTGATTTGCCAGTCGTTCCGTTTGCCAATTTGCCTTTTTGTATGTCTGCAAAGTGCACTTTTTATGACAATAGTTGTGATAAGAAAATTAGTAAAAAAGAGGCCATTCACTGAGTCAGGTTTGAATTGACACGCAAACAGTAATAGCAGTGATAATAATCGTGTACACACCCTGTTGTAACTACAATAAGGTTACGGTAATAAGACATGGCAAATGAAAGCTCTTTATTCAATACTACTATGTGCTACACCTTTCCACACATCAGCAACAGCACCACCTCTCCCTTGCTCCTCTAGGGAGGGGAGGAGCGTTGGGGATGGAGAAATGCCTAATAACATGCAGAAGTCAATCTAATTTTTCCTTAACAGGTTTCGAATAGTCAGAATCATAAGTACGAGTAGCATAGGAATAGAGTGTCGGAATAAGATGTGCTATCAAGAAGATCATTTTATGGTTTAGTCTAGTCTGGTGAATGATATAGACCAACCAGAATTCCCCGTCTGTTTTTTTCCGCTCAAAAGAGAACCTATACCTATAGGCGAGATACTACACATGTTTCATCCAGTGTTTACAGTGTTTCAGTGTATGCACAATTTGTACTGCCCAATAGAGGGTGAGTGCACATCCGTGCGATTCGGTCTGCGCGTGACAAATTGCGCGGCGAAATTCGTGGCGATTTGGAAGACTGCAGCGTTTACCACTGGGGGCACAAACTTGAAGTATAATAGATAGATTAGTATGGTCAGCTGATCCAATAATCTACTCTACTTTAAAGTTGGGCTCCAATAATAGGCACTGAAGTCGTCAAAATCGCTATGAATTTCGTAGCGCAAATTGCCGCGCGCGATCTCCGAATTGCACGAACGTATCGTCCCCCCCCCCCCCCCCCCAATCCGGCTCCGAAAAGTTAGAAAGCTTGCCCAAGACTCGATCTTCTAAGCGGTGTGATGTATTGTTGAGACCTTTCTAGTAAGTCACTTTTTTGATTGTTTTTTAGAGCGTTGGTGACGTTAGCTTGACTCGTACTATTGCTGGACAATAGATTAGGATGTTTGAAATAGAAAATGACTGAATAAATCGAACTAATCCCATTAACTACGACATTTGCCTGTTTCAGACATGTCTTGAATACATCGTCTATCATTGACTTCGCAGTGATGAGCGATCGCTCATTAGCGAAAGGCGTGAGGCGCATGTTAGCTGTAACCGGTGAGAAAGCACAGGCGAATCGACGTTACGGTGAAGAAGTTACATCTCGGCTTGAGTCTGAACTCGAGGAGTTGAATAGAGACAATCATGTAGAACCACACTCTGACGAGGTAATGTCTACCAAGGTTTTCATGGCTTTCCTTGATTGAAAGTTCTCTTTTGTAGAAAATAGAATGGGAGCGTATTCCGTATCTGTACAGTGGTCGTTGTCGTCAACTACAAAAATCTATCAAGAAGAAGCGAAAAACAAGCAAAGTCGCACTGCGTTCCTAATTATTGTTAATATTTTGTTGATGATTGGACATAAAAAATTCAAGCCTTTGTTCAAAGAGGTCGCCCAGGTTGTCAGCCTGCGTTCATACTTTTTTCAAATTTTTTTACCCTGTATTTTTTTCGTCATCGAGTGATGCCGTTGAGTTAGAACGCCGCCTTTCATTGTGATTCATTGTCATTGAGGAATATAGGGCTTGGATGGAGATTTACGGATATAATATTTCTTTTTTTCCAACGTCTCCATTTCATCTTTTCGCCCTCTCCTGTCTTTCGTTCACTTATCGAGTAGCGATTTCGATTCCCCTCAACAAACAACACTTCTTTGTGTGTTGCTTTTTTTTATTTACTTGCATGAATTTCTTCATCTAGATATCCGAATTTTTTGTTTTGGTTTTGTGATCGCTCATATTGTGTTCTGGCACAAGTCATTGGTCTGTGTTCAAGGTTCAGAAATTCTGCTCGTATTGTGCCGTCATTTACCAGCGTCTTCATCCGATCTCTTTCTATTCATTTAATAAAATTTGTCTTGTTTAGGAATGCATCATGCCCACGGAACTGTCGATTGTTCTCAGGAGGTAAAGGTGAGTCAGTTTTATAGCCAATTTGGGGTTCTCAGATTGGTTCAGCATGGGAGCGTAACCATTCTCTATGTTTGTTCGAGAGAAATGTTGATTTTTGTGCTTTTAATTTTAGTAGATATTTATTCATTCCCATGTGAGGAAAGTTCGAATGTGACTAGCCTTAAAACAGCTTCATACATCTACACTTTGCACCTTTTTTTCAATGTCGAAATTTGGTCAGGGTTTGCTCAAGTTTTGCCCTGGCGTAGATTTGATAGGGATTTTAATCATAGGGGTCGTCTGAATCTCTGAAGCTAATATTGTGGTCGCTGGACAAGTGCCGTTGTTTCGGCGTTGCTGTGTTCTTGTACCTGGTACCTGGACGCTCACCAATTCGCTAGATCTGGCTTCTCCAAGTAATGTGGACTACTTTACCAGGAATTCGTTCCTTGCTTTTGCGAAGTTCACTTTCTCTATGCTTCTACGTTGTTGGGTGGGACTCATAGCTTATCCCTTAAAAAATTCGCTTGTTTTCATATCTCGATCCTACGTTGTTTTCCATTTTGCTTTACATAAAAACAAAGTAAGTAATTTCATGAATCTATTAATATTCATACGTATAATCTTTCATTTGATCTAGTTAATTATATTCAGCCAACAGGCGCCGATGAGGACTATGTGCAAGAGGACCCAACAGACATAGCCAAGGCTCCTCTAGCTGAAAATCCTGGCGCAAGTATCTGCAAAGTATTATACTTAATTCAAAGAGGCTATTTTTCTGATAGTCTGATAGTTTCTTTTGAGGAGGAGCTCAGTGAACCATTTTCTGCTGGACATACTGCTACTGGAGAGGATAACAAGAATGACCGGTCCTTACTTGAAATGGTTGAGATACTGTCCGCAGATATAGAGGCTTTTCGTGAAGCAACGGATGAATTGGAAACTATGTCAGAAAGTGTGCAGTGTTTGATGAGGAACACTGTCAATGGAGATGTGAGTTTTTTTCGTTTTTCAATTGTAGCTCTATGACTTTGACTGCTAGATACCCTGAAATCGGGTTAATTCTCAAAGCTGGTTGATAAAAAGTGCCGAACATCTCTAGGCTTCCTCATAAGGGATTTGAGGCCTGCTGAGTAGAGACTGAAAGCCTTTCG